GGTTAAGGTATGCTTTCAAGCTCATAATGCTTACAAAGGTACTTACAGATTACCCATTAATAAAGTTTTCACATCAGTAGCAAAATTTAATCTCACAACTTTATGGATTATGAGCCAACTCTTTTGAAACTAGACCAACCTTTTTGTTATTTGTAATTCTATTATTTTTACTCATGGTGCTCATCATCATTTTCATCTTTTCATTACCAAATCTATCTATTCATAAATTAGGGGTATTTAGGGAAAAATTATTTATTACTCCTAAATTTTTTGTAAAATTCCTTATATAAAAAGGACACCACAACCTTTAAAATTTTCCCTTATAATTAAGGATGAAGGGAGTACCTTGATAACTCATGATGCTCTCTGTTAACTCTGTAGTTATCATTGAATTTGAATAGTCCTCATGTGTATCATAATCTTTAAGCTCTTCCCTGTCTTGTGATTGTTCTACATTTCACCATTGGGGTAGTAAATCATAGCATGTCTTAGTATAGGAAAGAAAATGTGATAATTGTAATACAAAAAGAAATAGGATGGGAAAAGACACCCGTAAGATGCATAGTGTTATCAATTGACTCTGTTTTCGTTGAGTGTTCGGAACAAATGTGACGAGAAACTTCATCAACAATGCGTGATACAGTTACATTATCATCCTCTTCCCTACACGATATTGAAAGTATACATCAATAATCACAATGTATGCAATTCAAAATTTGAATACATTTTTACCCTTTTACTTAAAGCGACCTGTATGTTATTAAGCCATGAGATATTTATAAGGAGACTGCATGCGTCCACAAAAGGTAAATTAATAAACGTAACAGAGTTTACATGCAGCTGATCAAGTGCATGAAATAAATTCTTTTCTGCTCTAGTTAAGGATGTAATTATAGGAAAACATCTGACAAAGATAGACATCTAAGAAAGTAGTAGAGACATACCCTTCTTCCATGCTCAAACTATCCATAAAAACTGTTTTAATCAAGTCAGGGTGCAACTTGATGAACCCCATGGTACAGATGACATGGCATTAATACCAACGAAGCTTGAGCATGGTAATCATGAGCATGGTGACATGGAAGGAGCCTAAGAAAAGCAGCAAGGAGCCCAATACTTCCAATCCAACGTACCTAAAGACCAATTACAACATATTGAAGGTCTAATGATAAGAGTCCAAACTAAAGTCATGAAACAAGCCTTGTTCAGTCTTGTGTAAGAAGTTCAAGAGCTTGGAGAGCATTGGGGCACTCCTCTCAAGCCCAAAGGAGAGCATCTATATGTGTATAATGTGTTTAAGGTCTAAATTCATGAAGAGTCAAGCCTAAGAGATACAAACTTTAGTCCAATGCAAGGAAGACTACAAGTTGAGCCTCTTACAAGCAAGGAGGCATGAAACCCTAGTGAAGAAGTCAAGGGTGGCATGATTTTAAATCCTTTATGATCTCTTAATTGTCTCCTAAATTATTTCCTATTTTAATAGTCCTTTGATTTGATTTCTTATTTTGAGTCTAGTCAAAGGTTAAAATTAATTATGGTATTAATTTTTAAATTTTGTAATCCCATAATTTTAGGATCACATCTCCTAAATTATGTGGATAAATATTTTATCATTATTTTATATTATTTTTCCTTTTAGTATTAGGAAATTAAGGTTTTAATTTTAGGAAATATTCTTCTTTATGAGCCTATATAAATTAGGCATGCTCCCTCTTATAAAGAGAACAGAAGTTGAATAAAATTATTTATTTTACAATTTATAACTCTTGTGAGCCTTAGTGCTTTATGGTGGCATTCCGCGTGAGAAACAGATGTGATCAAGAGCGTGATCAACTTTTGTGGTGTTTTAAAAGGTTGAGGTTCCTAGAGGCAGGTGCTCTAGAGGATCTTCTCCTTGATCATTACTCCATTGTTTATTTTATATCTTTCTTTATTTTCATCATAAATTTCGTCTCTTTCTTTTTATTCTTGTATTTTTGTTGTGTCAGGGTTCTGTCCCTAAACTAGCACGATTTTACTTCTGTGTCCCCTATCACAACCTCTCCATCTTTTCTCGACATATTGATTCACATCCTGAAAGATATGAAGTACCGTAAAAAATCGGCCAAACCAAGTGGCCGTCTGTTTTGATATTATCAAAGATCATAGCAAGTGTGTCAAGACACCATGAGGAATTTGCATAGTTTTCAGAGAACACAATGATCAAAATGCTAGATTCTCTAATTGCTCTTAGCACAGTTTGGCGAATATCTTCCCCGCATCGGGAGCTCTTAACATCTTTGAAATCATTAATCTTGCTCTCATGCAAAGCATTATATAGCTTGTCCACGAGAACCTTAGAATCAGAGGCTTCAAAACTCAAGAATACATCATATGTCGATGCTTCTGCAAAAGAAGATGATAATTATAGCCATTTATATTGCAAATTTTATTAGTAAAAGTACACATTCTACTAGCAAAAGATATATGCAAATGCAACAGGCCTATGATAACCATATCAAAGCTTCAAAATATTATAATCGAGGTATAATTAAGCTTATGAACAGTTACTAAGTATAAATTATGTATGACCATCTTTCCTTTTGTTTTGTTGGTCTTATCCAAACCGTTCTTATGAAACTTGCAATTTTTTCTTGCCCTGCGTTTGACCATCATTAGGAAAACCCTTACCATGATGTGCTTGATCTACTATATATATATATATATATATATATACACACCGTGAACCGAAAGAGATTCTTGTTCAAAGATTATAAACTTATCACATAAATATTTATTAATAATAAAATGAACTCTGTCCTCTAATTAACCAGCTCTATGAAGCGACGTCGCTTACTTCCGTGGAACACATAGACATGACACTTTTTCCTTTCCTTGTTTTTTTTTTCCAAAGAAAACTTCATCTCTTTTTTATGTTTGTAATTTTCTCTTGGGATTGTTTATGATATGAGTTGTGAAGGTGCTGTAATTAAACCTACTCACAAAGTGAGATTCGTTTATCCAATTTTGAGCATATTTACTATGGCTAATTGATGCGACAAGTCATGCAGTGTTGCATATACATGTGTGCACGCGCGCGCGCTTGCATGCATGCATATATAAATAGCTTGAATTATATGAAAAAAAATCATATAGTAGATGATCAATATAGATATCCACTATCTCAATCTCTTTATAGACTGTACAAACGAGGATGGGAGTGGAGACCAAACTGTTGCAAGTAGAGCTCCCAAGTCTCAATATTAAGTAGTACAACAGGTATCCATTTTTTTTCACCAGTGAGGCACAGTAAATCAAGGAATTTTTTAATATGGGAAAGAATATGACTGGTTAACACAAAGAAAGAGGATGGAAAAACCATACCTCCACCTATAATGTTCTCAATTGATGACTCTTCAGATTTTGTTAGACGTTCAAAGTGAAAGTGACAAGAAACTTCTTTAACAATATGAGGGATACCGTCAATTTCTTCCCTGCTCAATTACAAGTATATATCCATTGCTAAGCATAAAGTAAAGAAAGTCAAAATTTGAATACAATATTCTTTTTTTTCATTTGCTTAAAGATAACCTGCATGTTATCAAACCATGAAATATTTGATAAGGTGCGTCCACGAAAAGTATAACAAGACAACTGACATCCAACCTAAAGCTTTAAGCCATTTCTTCCTTTTTCTTTCGTTTTCGTTTTCTTGAATTAAATGAGTCAAGGAAATGGTTTATTGTTAACCTCTAGAAATTAATATATTTTCAACGCCGCATGTTCCCTAAGTTTTATACTTGTTGATACACTTGTACATATTTTGGATGCTAAAGATGGGAAAATGTGCGTTTTGTTTTAGATTGAATGTCATTGCTTAATTTTGCATATTTAACATTGGGTCAACGTGCAAAAATACTCAAACATTTTTTTGGAAGAGTTGCTGACATCCTTAAGCCAACACCGGTGCATTGGTGCCCATTGACTCATAAAAACATGTCAATATTCTACAATATGTTAACTTGGCGTGATGTCCATTAAGTGAGAAAAGTGGGGACTATAAGTTATGTCAGGTGTTCATCGATTGCCTTTGAACCTTTGAGATTCTAAGCACGTTAGTGATTGATTTGTTGATCTACTTTTGCCAATGAGTCCATGCAAATTGTTCAAAAACTTGCTAAGATAGACATTTTTGCTCTGGAACAAAGGCCAATTATTGGCGATGGCTAGGCTCAACGCACCAAGAAGGCATTACACTCCCTGTTCACAGTGATGATGGCAGAGGATGAGGATGGGAGCACGGCCAAGTTGAAAGAGAGAGCCTGATCTTTTGGAAGGAGAGGTTCTAGCAATGCTTCTCCTATCTATGTAATAAGCACGAAATTTGTGCTTATGATGTAGACTCTAGTTGCAACTATCTTGTGTCCTTAATCTGTATAATTTGTGCATTTCCATTGGTGATTGTTGCAAAGGTACTTTCATTGAAAGACCTTTTGGTGGAAATCAAGACATTAATAGGTAGATTGGAGCAAACCATGACTGAGATATGCCAAGCCCTTTCGGAGATTACGCGCAATATCGAGATATTAACTCAACGATCTGTCACTGGGTCTTTTAACTAGGAAACAATCACAACTACAATGTTGCCATTTCCAGTGTTAACTTCACCTCTGGGCTCCAACTTCATCGAGAACCCACAATCAAGTTCGGAACCAAGTGATGCGCTTGAATCGCTAGTAGTGGATCATTATCCATCTGTAACAACCGAAGAATTTTAAATAAAAATTTAATAAATGTTATTGTTGTATTTTAATTGTTGTTATACAAATTTATTCGGAATAAATCTGACGATAAGGATAGCCGGTATAGCGGAAGATATGTGGGTGCTACTCCCATCATGTCTCGAGCTCGACTCCCACAAAGCTGACGTTTTATTTTTTTCTGCCTTTTTCATTATGAAATTACATAATAGCCCTTCCTTTAAATTTGATAAAAATCTTCATCTTTCTTTTCGACTCCTCTGGAGTTCACCGACGGAGAAGAAGTTCTGACTATCCTCTCAAATCTGTAAATTCGTCCATCCCCTCCAGCGTTCCAGTGTTGCCGACGTGGGTCTCAATTCCACCGTGAGTTTGCTGTTGTTTTCTTCTTCTTCTGCCATTTTCTTGTTTTTGTTCTGTTTCTTTTCTAATTTCTGTTACCGTCGATCGCTGATGTGAAGGCCATGGGTGGTCTGTGTGAGAGGCAAAAAAGTTTGGTGCTCAAGGTTTTCGAACTTTCGACCGTCCTCTTCCTTTCTGAAATAGCTCGTCACCACCGTGGGGAGAGTTTCATCTGTTGCTTGAGCATCTTCTTTTCTAATCCTTTTCTCAGTTCGGCTGCCTCATCCTGCTCCTTTTTGTTCTGTTCTGCTGGGTTTAGGTGAGGAGATTCAAACCTTTTCATTGTTGGATTTGCTGTGAGTATAAGTGTGCTCTGTTGTTGCGCGTGAGATTACAGTGTTTTTTTTTTGTGCCCTGCTGCTGCTGCCGTACTGTTATAGAGAGGAGGAAATTCAAATTTGATCTGAAAAATTATCTTAAAGGTTGATAATGATATACATATGGGTCAGCTTTTGAGTTAAATTTATTTTGTTTAAATTGATTGATAATGAAGAATTAGTTAGGATTATGTCAGAAGAAATGAGATATGAAGCTTGAGGAATGATGACTATAAAATGGTTATTGAAATGCTTATTAGTTGAAATTGAAATTGATTTTTGAGTACTCATGGAGATTCATTAGTTATTGTGAGAAGGATGAAATTTAATTTGGATGTTACAAAGGATATTTGTTTATGGAATATATAATGTGATTTTTTTTGAATTTTTGAAAATGGATAGTTGTTGAGGAAATACTGACTGCTAGCATTTTTATGAGAAGATTGAAAATAATTTATGTTTGGTGCTTTGGCCAAATGTTAGTGAGGATTTTTTTTTTCTTAAACAAAATTCAAATGTATTATAGTTTAATATTGGTGATGAGTGAGCTTGGAAAAAGAAATTATTGTATTGGTTGAGAGTTAAATAAAATTTTAATATGATTTATAGGGAGTTTGGAAGGGGAGAAAATTAATTAAAGATGAGAGGAGAGATTTAAATTTTGGAGATTTCAAATAAGTGAATAGCATCCTATTTAATTTATTTTTTATAGTCTTTTATTGAAATATTTTTCTCTTATGAATTATATTAGTTTTAGAAATTATGAAACATTGATGAAGGATACTTGAATTATGATATGTGTATTTATTTATTTTCAAGAAATATGTTTCTAAGATTGATAAAGGCATTTTTGTTTATTAAACTCTAGAATTTCTTGGTTACTTAATTAGTGCAAGTTTTTACATTAGCTATGAAGTATTATTTTAGCAAATTTTGAGGTTTGAAATGATTCAGGTGAGTTTGGCATTGAGAACAAAAATTTTATTGTAGAAATAATTATTTTTCTCGCATGTTTGAAATGTGATTTTCAAAAGGACTCGAAACAGAACACTGCTGCTAACGGCAGTTCTGTTAGCCCGTAGCTGTGGTTAATAACTAGCTAGTTTGTTTCGTGGACTTTGTTCTCATGTTTGTTATTCGTGGGCTTTATACCTGCGTTTGATTTCGTGGTCTTAAGCCACATTTGGTTAGCCTTACCCTCGTGAATTATATGTCCACATTTGTTTTGTACCTTTGGCTGTGTTTGGTTACTTATCCTTATGGACTGTGTGTTCATGTTTGTTTTCATGGCATAAGCCGTGTTTGGTTATTTACCCTTGTGGACTGTATGTTCACGTTTGTTACCTGTTTTGTAAGTCCTTAAAAATTTGAATTTTGATTAACTCACTATTCGAAATTCCAATGATTTCAATTATCAAGTGCACTATTTTGATTTGTGTACGAGTAATTTGTTTTCTTTAACCAAGATAAATTAAAGTGTTTTCAACTCACTCTCATTTTATAGTTATGATTATGATTTACAGATTTATGAAGTTATTATGTTGAATTATCATCTTTTCAATTATTTTACACGATTATTTGAGTTTATTATTTTAATTCTTTTAAATTATGTTTTGGGGATGCTATTCATTGAAAAATTTAATTTGGTCTCAGATTCATTAACTGACGCTGATCCTACTGCCGACCTCAAAAGGGCAATACAGCTATATTGGATGAAAATTATGTTTGGTATTGTTACCTTTAATGTAAATATTTAAGTTTTATGTATTTTAATTTAGAGGAAGAATTAGTTGCTCAACATAGATTGTTGTTAAGACTTTATTTTGATTTATATATTGTTACTGACTAGAAGGAGCTAAACTCCTGATTGATATTGTATTCTGTGAAAATTGTTTTTGTAGAATTTTCAGGAGATCTTATTTACAGGGGAGGTTTCGCCGAAATTTCTACGAAAACGTTGAAGTCTTGTGATAATTAATATTAAAAGTGTTAGAATTTATATATAATCTGATTTTTTTAAAACGGAATGAATTTCATTTTAAGACTTACGAGAATGCGTGATGTAGTTTGCATCCGTGTCAGTTACCCTCTATTTTTAAGGTGTGACACCATCATTGCTAATTGTATCAGAAATGGAATGCCTTTTTTCCTCATCTGCCATTGATGGAAAGGACGACACCAAAGACTACATAACTTTGGTAGTCATTGACTTGGGAACTGTCCAAGCTTCGATTGCAGAATCTAGTATGCTCATAACTCATTCCTATGGTGTTTGATTTCTTAAGGTCGACACATTTTGTGAGAGATTCATTCCACAACCACTTATTGGCTGAGGGTATCATTCAATTCCAGCATCTATTCCGGCCCTGACTGCTTTAATAGAGGAAAATAATTTGCTCAAACAAGATTCAGCACAAGTAGGTAAAGGAATGCTCAATGACTTGACTCATTACACCAAATGTGATTCGAGTAATTCTCTTCCATTTCCTCTAGATATGAACTCCCATATGTAAGCTTGTATGGATTGGACTAAGTAGCCAAGAGAATTTAAGGAGCGTAGAGTTCATTTTAGTGGATATATTTTTCAGTTGAAGCCTGTTGGTAACTTGATTATTAGCTTAGTAGTTAGTATTGAACCCAATGTTTTCCTCTTCCATTATAACTATTCTGGTTCCCGTCAGTTCACAGACTTCTGCAATATTTTTATTTTGTGGGATGATGATTTTGTTATGGCTCAGTTGCTAGATATTTTTTTTGTGGTACCATGGATCCCCTTGTTCATTGCTTTAAATTGTTTTAAGATAATTGGCTCTTTGACTATAATTTATGGGGCACACAAGACACTACAAGCACCTGATAGCTTGGATTTTATCTTCACTTCTGATCCTGAAATTATCCTTGATGTTTTGCTCTCTTCTATGCCTTGTCAAATTATGGGGATTATGTTTTATTTTCACAATTTGCAATATGAAGGTGGTTCTAGATCTATAATCAATGTTGTTGGACATGGATTTCTTACTTTTGTCTTTGATCCTGGAGATGTTACAAGTAGTAAGTATTTGAAATTTGATGTTGAGGCCTATCACCAATAACCATTTTGCGTGCTGCAATTGATGCCACGACAATGTTCCACAATTCCAATTGTATTACCTCTCTCCAGTCATTACACCCTAGTTTCAGGTCTCGAGTTTTGCACAATTATATACACTATATCGCAGTTTGCAATTATTGATACTAGGGAATCTCAACATGCTCTGCCTATGAAAATTTAATTATTGATGGCTACTTGATTATTATCATTGAAGAATTTACTTTGTAAGTTGGCCTTGGTCCTTGTCTTTTTGTTCATGTCATAGTGGGCAATGTGATAAGATATAGTGATGGAAGCAAATAAAGCTTTATAGGGTTTCATTTAGGGTCCCAATCTTATACTTCGGTGTTAGACCTTGGTGAAGACACATATTCACTACAAAAAAAAAAAAAAATCCATCGCTAAACGGGTTAGTGACAGAATTAGCAATGAAAAATTTTCATCACTAAACAAGGATAAGCTATTTCAATTTTATGATAGAATGTACTCCGTGGCTAATCCGTTACAAATAAAAATTTCATAAAAAATTATCATTGCCATGTCACCTAGTAAGCCAATACCACCTCATCATCATGTCATTACCATCTCCCTGTCATATCGCCTCCATGTCACCACGTCACCTCCACATTATATATTAACTTCAAATATGCCTTGGCCAAGTTCGAACATAACCGGTTGAGCTGAAGAATATCTTTAGTCTTTAATTGATAAATTAAATATATAATATCTAACTGCCCATATATATATATATATATATATATCAATAAATATCTAATTTAAATATATTTATTTATTTAGAATTCTTTTTATTATCAATAAAATAAACTAATTTTTTATATAATACTTATTTATATTATATTATATTTTAAAAAAATTATTTTCTATAGAAAATTTAATATTAAAATGAACAAATATTTTATTATCACTATATATTATATTATATTTTTCATAATATATACTATTTTATACTTTAAAAATTATTTTTTAAAAATGTTTTTATTTTTAAATAACAATAATTAGGTATGTTACTATGTTATCAAAAAATTAATTAAATATATAATTTAAATTCTTATAATTATTATTAATATCTAAATAATTTAAAATAATAAATTATAATTATTAAATTTTTGATTTATAGTATGATAATAAATTATTAAATAAATTATATAGAAATATATATCATAAATCATATAATAAAATTTACAATAATTTGTGACAGAATTATGATGGAAAGGTTTGTGATAGAATTTCCAATTGCAAATGCTATCACAAAATGAGAATAACGTATCTTAAAAATTAGCGACGGACTTTTCCATCAAAAAATTTCATCACAAAATTATTTCTGACAATATAGTGAAGAAATAGTGAAAGAATTTTTAGCGATGAAATATTTCGTCGCTAAATTTCATCAGTAAAATTATTTCTAATGGCTTAGTGACAAAATAGTGATTGATTTTTTAGCGACCGAATGTTCCATTGCTAAATTTCATCAGTAAATTAGTGATGATTTGTGACTGATTAGCAAAGAAAATTTATTCCATCATTAATTCACTATTTTTTTGCAGTGATTGATTAATTTTTGTTCTAAGAATTGCTAATGAAGACCTTCACATGAACCATAGAATGACCTTGCTTGCCTCAATTAATTTTCGACCACCTAGAAGAATTAGGTGTGGAGCATTCCATGAAATTAAAACAAGAGCTAAGTCTATTTAATTCTAGTAGAAAATGTTCTTTATCTTAGCTTATCAGCTGAAGTTGTGGAAGGGTGGGCACTTATGGGATGGTAAATTCTTTTTATTTGATATTTTAGTCTTTGTTACATTCATCCCTCTTTAACCTTAAATTTTGGAACCCATATGACACAATGAGTGTTTGATTATTGGCATATTTGATTAGTTTTGAATGCTAGGAGTTTACAGAGAAACTATTGCTTCAATATTGATACTAAGACCTCTTTCTAGTTGTGCTTGAACTTTATTGCTTTAGGTTTGAATTTTCCAATTTCATTTTTGTTCTTGGTGAGGTTACATGCATTGAGAGCTTGCAAGTTAGCTTGAGCCTTGGAAAGAATGCTAGAAATTGTTGTTCCTATTTGCATTGGATTGTGCCCTATATGATTAAGGTTCTAGATTTCATTATAAAGTTGGTAAGTGCACATTTCAATTGTTGTTGGATGATGGCTAACCTCCACTTTCATGGTGCGGTTTATTTTAGCAACTGGTCTTTTTATTTGGCTTTTGATGAAAGCCAAGGGGTACTAAAAACTATTTTGCATCATTATTTGCTAATTAACTCTGATGAGCTAATACAATATCGAGCCCTTACTGTAATGAGTTACTCCATGCATGGCAATCTTGATTTCCTTTTAAATGGTGGGCCATGTTTAGTTAATGTATGCTTGGGTTTGCAAATGGCTTTTCTAAGGAAACTTCTCTTCATGTAGTTTTGATCATGGTCGTTGTTGTGACTCGGGGAGTTTTGAAAGATGGACTAAATGCATGCCTTTTCAAATATGTGTCTTGGGTCTCTTTGAATAGTCTTGACCCACTAATGAATACCACTATGGCTACTTTCAAGGGAATTTTATTACAACAAAGGTAAATGAAGCTCTTAAAAAAATTACAAATGGTAGAGTCAATAGATCTAATTGTATCCCTATTGAAGTGTGAAAATGTTTAGATGAAGAAGGGGTGTGATGGCTAACTAAGTTATTTAATAAGGTCTTGCAGTCCAAGAAAATGCTTGACGAATGGAGGAGAAGTACCTTAGTTCCTATTTACAAAAATGAAAAGAGGATATTTAGAATTGTGCAAGCTGGAGAGGAAATATTCATATTGTAATTTTGATAAGAAGTTAGTCAGTAATAATTTAAAAGTAAGGTTGGGAGATCAAATTATACTTCAAGTGAACAAGTTTAGATATTTAGCATTTATTATTCAACATGATGGAGAAATTAATGAATATGTTGCACATAAGATACAAGTTAGATAGTTCAATAGGAGAAATGCTAAAGAAGTCATTTGTAATCGAAATGTGCCTAATAAACTTTAAAGAAAGTTTTATCAAATTGCTATAAGACCAACTATGTTATATGGTAGTGAATGTTGGCTTTTAAAGGGACAACAAGAGCATAACATTAGAGTAGCAAAGATGAGAATGTTGAGATGGATGTGTGGGCATACACAAAAAGATAAAATCTAAAATGAGCATATATGAGAAAAGGTGAATGTGGCATCTATTATTAAGGAAAAAATGATAGAAAATTATTTAAAATAGTTTGGACATGTATAAAGAAGGCTATAGGAGGCACTGGAGAGGAGAGTGAAATGGATAATCTTGAGTCTTGTAGAGATAGAGGACAACTAAAGAGAACACTTGTGAAAGTTGTTGTATAAGATCTTTTAGTTAACAATATTCTTAAAAGTTTGGTTAATAATAAAGCACAATGATTTCATGCAATCTATATAGCTGACTCCACCTGATAGGATAAGGTTTATTAAGGGAGGCTATGTAATGGATGGGTCAAGAAAAATATGAAGTGAATTTTTGAGTTTACACTTAATGTGCCAAAGGCGTTTATTGGGCTAAGAAATATAAGTCCACAAGTTGGATATAATGAAAGGCAAGAAGAAATATGGAGGGTGTGAAGAACATTGTTGAGCATTTTTCTCTCAGTTTGCTTCCTTTGTTCTATCTCTTATTTCTCCTTCCCTTATTTTTTCTACAATGTTTGTTATTATGGTGTCATTGTCTTAATTCAGTATTATAGCTTTTTTTATGATTTGAAACTTATTAATGTACTCAGCTTTTGGATTATTGAACATTAAGACCTGAGTATATACTTTAGTTTTTAGCCCATAATCTGTGCATTTTCATTAGTGATCGTTACATCATTTTTTGACATCAAGGCAATTGGGTTGGGCTTAGCCGATGATAAGGTTGTTTGAGAAGATAGCAGAAGAGTAGAAGAAAAAGGAAAGGAAAGGTTATGTAAGACTACTAGAAGAGATGCAGAGGTTGGAGAAGATAGGTCAATCCTTGATAGATTTTATCAACTCATTTCAATTTCCCATATTGGAAGAGTACTTAGAGGAGATGAATTCACAGGTGGAAGAGTTGGCAGATATTTGTAGAAAGATGGAAGAAGGTTTGGTACTTTTACAATAGCAAATCAAAGAGGTGTTTTATAGGGTTGTGAGGAGCTAATTAGAGTTTCTTGATGTCTTAGACCAAGCTAGGAAATTATTTGCATCTACATATTGTGTAAAGATTAAAGGCAGTTTCTTCTTGTTCTTCTTTTCTTTTACTATGTACTCTTTGCATCTTCTGAATGATAAGTTTAATTTTGAGTAGGAAAAAAAATGAGTTGTCCTTGTATTGCTAGTAAATTTATGTTTAAACTCATTATGTGTAGCTAAACTCTTATCCTAGGATTAATAGAGCTTTATTTATGAATTAGTGAATGTTTTCTATCCTCTTTGGCTATTTAATGGTATTTGTGTTTATCCATTTATGGTCTTCATGTTTTCTTGCTAATATAAGCTATCAATCTAGACTGATTTGGTTTTCTAATAGACTCTATAGAAAAATTGATATAGTCCATCTTCTATATTGTATGAGATCAACTTTAAGCATGCTATGTTGAATGGATGATTTTGCTAAAAAGGTAGAGATACACTTTGTAGTCTCATATAGTCAAATTAGGTTTACTCTTCTATTATGATAATAACTACATCTTGAAAAAGATTGGAGCTTAAATTAATTAGATAGCATCTATGATATTGAGAGATGTTTAGAGATAGAATTGAATTCTATACAAGTATTAAATAAATCTTAGGGATGTTTATGGAATGGAAAGGGATTGGAATAGCCTTATCCTATGTCTTAAGCCAAAAATGGAATAATGGAAATTGTCTTGTCCTTGTTCATACCTCTCTAGTCTTAGAATTATTATATAGCACTAACATCTGATGGTTAGTACTTGATTATGAATCAAATCTAGTGAGAATGTAATGTTTTTATTTAAAAACTTATAACATACACCTAATTGAGATACCTGTTGTGGCATCAAAGAAAGAAGTAGTGACATACCTTTTTTTTAAGTGCCAACCACGCATGTGAGCTACTTCAAACAAAGCCAACCTCCACTTCTCCACCTTTTCCATGCTTTCATGCCTAGCCTTTGCCAATCTAAAACTTCCTGATTCATGTCTTACATCTGAAGGATTTGCATCGTAGAAAATTGGGATAACCAATGTGCCCTTTGTTTTCATACAATCGATGATCATAGCAAGGACATCAAGACTCCATGTGGAAGAAGCATAAGATTAAGAGAATATAATAATGGAAATCCTTGACTCTTCAATTGCTTCATGGTTGGGCAAATATCTTCTCCCCATCCGAACCTCCCGACATCTTTGAAAGCACTAATATTGTTTTCAAGTAAAGCATAACATAAATTGTTCGTGAAAGAGTGGGAATTGCTGCCATGAAAGCCTAAAAAATACATCACATCTCGATCCTTGTGCAAAAGAAGATGATATTATTATAGCCATTAATTACTACTAATTTTAACAGTAAAAGTACACATTCTACTAGCAATAGATAGATGCAATAGGTCTATGATCATGTCAAAAAAGCTTCAAAATATTATAATCAAGGTGTAAGTATATGAACAAATTACAAGCATACATTGATGAAACTTACATGTGTAGTATGTTAAATTCACTGAATAAATAGATAAGTTATAACTAGTTGACCCATATAAATAGGATGGAATATGGCTTATAGTCACGTGTTATTGTTATTCTATTATTTGTGAGAATATATTAGGTTTTCTTCCTTGCTAGAGTAAAAGAAAAAAAAATTTAATAGTCACATTTTTTGTTGTTTTACTATTTTACTTGAACATCAATTCAAAATAGCCAAAAATATTTCAACTTGCAATATTTGCAAGCTAATCATGTGCTAATTAAAATACAAGGGAGATAAGCTAAGAAAACAAATATTGGAAGAGTATCCTAACATTGAATGCAGAACGGCCATGCATAGCAGAGCATAAATAATAAGGCTGAGAATAAATGGAAAAGCAGAGATAAGAATATTCTAAATACCTAGTTTAAGGAATATGATATTATTATCAAACTTGATTTCTTCATTACATACATTAGCTCCTAAATAAATTTTCCCATCAATTTAAACTTTGGGTGTACTGTTCTTGATGAAAATCGACACATGATTCAAGTAATTCTGATTAAATGAACCGAAGAGTTCAGTCTTTCCAATAAAGCTATATAGATCATATACATACATATGATTAGCCTCTAATGTTGATAATGAGAACGGTTGATAAGGAAATGCAGTAACATCTTTAGATGTGCCATTTATGAACATGGATACGTGAATGTCAATGTTATAGTTGAGATCTTTAACAAGAATCCATGTAAGAATCACAACAAGGAACTCTTCATGAATCTAAAAGGATAGAGAGGGGTTGTGGCTAACTGTGTCAAGCAATTTTGGGAACTTCTTTTCTAGAAAAGCATAGTTTCTTTTGCCTTGCCCTTGGCGAACAACCTGACAATTACACATTAAGAAAAATTTGAGAAATGATATATATAGGTAACAAGATAATATAATTGAAGTAAAGATTGGAATGGGTACCTAATTGAATACTCTACTTTTGGACAACTCAGTCAACCGTGTGCAAGGCGTTGAATTTGTCTAGGTTTGGCGGCATTCCCAAATTATATTGAAGTTGCTTGCAATTATGAAGGACAAGATATTTCATATGGTAACATTCTTCCAAGCATGCAAGAAGAGTTATGAATTTACCATGACTTAGATCTAATTGTATCAAATTTGGGAAGTAAGAAAGGCATAGAGCAAGAGAGTCATCTGATAAATTGCAATTTGAAAAGTAGTAATATTCTATTTTTTAAGACAATATCCTGTGGCCTATACTTGCTTCTTCTTCATCTCCACATTTCTTCAAATATCTCATCCCTTCACATAAATTTGTACAAAGTAATGAAAGATTTGGCAACATGAAAATGCTATCTGGACGTTGTTTAATATGATGGCACTCCTCTATGTTTAACATTTCAAGCCTAATGAGATTGCAAATTGAAGATGGAAAATCTACAATGGTTGTCTTATCTAATTCAAGTGTTCTCATCTTTGTCATCTTCACCAATATTTCTAGGAAGTATTGTAGACTTGAACATCCAAATAGATTAAGATGTTCAAGAGATGCCATACTAAGGCCATGAGGCAAAATCTTCAAGTTTTTGCATCACATGGCACTCAATTCTCTAAGTTTATTTAAACATCCAACTGAATCATGAATTTCAAGCAAGTTTGGACAATCATCAAGATACAACTCTATTAAATTAGAAGCTCCTGATAAATCTGGTATTCCTTGTAAGGATTTACAGCTTTTAAAATTCATGTGTCTTAAACTCTCAAACTTTTGCAAAACATTAACAAACATTTATTTTTAAAAAAAATAAAAAAGGAAAGAAAAACGTAGTTCTAATAAACTATACTTACCTTATTAAATGGCTAGAGCAATTCAACATAACTATAAGACAAGTCGAGATAAACAAGTTCTATTGGACAAAAATCATGTGGTAAAAGTTTAAAGGGATATTTCTTCCACTCCAACCACCTTAAACTATTTGGAAGATATGAGGGGCTTTTAGAAAAGTGAGCATTCTTTATCACAAGCATTCTGAGTTTCTTTATCTTCACAAATTCCTCTCCACTCCATTGCACTTCTTTACCTTAAGGTAAGTCTAGAACTATGGCCTCAACTTTATTAGTTCCCTTTCAAAATGAAAAGCACATAATATATTTCAAACTTTGGTTAAGCATCAATAATGTTCAAGTTTTGAAAGAAAAAAATGCATGTTCATGGTCTTACTGTGTCATGTTGTAAGACTTGAGGAATGTCTTGATAGAACCATAACCTACTACGTTCACCAGGCTCATCTTGTGATTCTTGATGAATAATCTCTTTACCCATATCTTTGATTATGTCATGCATGATTGCACAATCTCCTTCAATATTTATAAGGAATTTATCAATAAGCACTTGGATGGCATATTCCAGTTTGATTTCATGAAGGCATAGCAACATACACTTGATATCATCCAATTTCTCACCATTGAAGAAACAAGCCAAATCAAGGAAAACTTTTTTCTCAAATTCTCCTAAAGCATCGTAGCTTAATTGGACTGCTCCTAAAACTCTTTTATGTGGTATTGCCTTAAATTGATCTAATGCGTTGTTCCATTGATCAACTCCTTTACCACATAAGTTAGAACCCATCACTTTTAAAGCTAATAGAAAGCCACAAGTATAATGTATAGCACGATTGCAAACCTCCATGCTGGTAGAATCCAGATTTTCATTTTTAAAGGCATGCCAATTTAGCAACTGAAGAGATTCCTCATAATTTAATTCCTTAACATCATAGATACTTTCACTTTCAATACCATGACTTACTAACAATTGTTTATTCCTTGTTGTGATGACAATTCTACTTCCAGAACCAAACCAATCACAACTTCCAGCTAGTGCTTTTAATTGTTTTGGTTCATCAATATCATCAAGAATCAAAAGAATTTTCTTTCGGGTAAGCCTATATTTTATTATTGGTATTCCTTCATGAATATCACCCAATTTAAGATCCTTCTCCATGACTAATTGATGGAGTAATGTCTCTTGAAGATGTAACAAGCTAATATTTTTAGATCTTTTTAAAGAAAACATGCGCCTTCAAAAAGATCACTAATTGAATTATATACAGTTCTTGCAACCGTTGATTTACCTATTCCACCAGCACCCCAAATTCCTACCATTTTAGTTTCCTTAGTAGACCCAAGTTCTAAACGTGAGATTAAATCCTTTGCTCGGGGCACAAGTCCAATTGGATAATCTGTGATAGATAAAGGCTTACAATCAATCCTAGTAGAGACTTCACTAACAATCCCTACGATATGCTCTTATTCATTTGCAATCCTGATCAATTTGTAAGAAATTCACTGTTAGTCAAATTAAAAATTAAGTTATGCACAAGTTTTAGAAATATACAAGTTCATTCTGTTTTTCCTTTTCCTTTCCAATAAGAAATAGTCTAATTTCTTCACCTAACACTACAACTTTTTTTTATCTCTAGCAACACTTTGCACTACTACAGAATATATCTTTAGGAGCGGGTATTTAGGAGCGCTTCTTTAAAAAGTGCTCTAAAATGTAAATGCGGAATTTACCGGAGCGCTTTTTTAGAAAAGCGCTCCTGTATGTCAGGGCTTTTCAATAAGATAACGCTCCTAATTAATATAAATATAATATTATAAAAAATTTAAAAAGACCTTCGGGAGCGCTCGTAATTAAGTGCTCCGAAAGACTATCTTCTGAAGCGCTCTTTGAAGAGCGCTCCGGAAGATCAACTCTTTCGGAGCGCTCTTGGAATGAGCGCTCCAAAAGAGCTCATCTTTCGGAGCGTTCTTTTAATGAATAAGTAATATTTTTCATGTGTTGCTATTGATCCTCACTTTAAGTAACAATTATTTGGCAACAACTAAAAACTGTACTCTAAAGTGGAATAGGCAATAATTTTCAAATGTTGCAATAAAATTCTAAAATAAGTAACATAAAAACTATTGCCTATAAAACTTCTTTTATTAAAACATTTAAAAATTGTCCCCTATTTCAATAAGCAATAAAAAATAAAATGTTGCCTTTAAATGTTCCTTTTCACAATAGTTAAGAATTGTTGCCTATTATTTACCAATATTAAAAACTATTTACTTTCATTTTTATCCAATTTTTAACATATTCTTATTACTTTATTTATTATTTAATTAATTTAATATTTTATTTATTAAACTAATTCAAAAGTTAATTTAAATAATATCTATATATAATATTTTGTAATAATGTTAGAAGAGTGGTTAGAGGCTAGACTGATATCCAAAAGGTTCAAGGTTCAAATCCTAGATAGGAGAATAAATATTAAATTTTTCCCATTTTAAGTTCATGCAACAATTCTTAATTATTGCCTATTCTTATAGAAGGCAACAACTCAAAACTGTTGCAATAAATTGATGTGAAAACTGTTGCCTATTGTTATACTCTAAGACAACAATTTTTGCTAAGTGTTGCTTAAAATTTTAAAAACTATTACCTTAAACAATAGGTAGAGCCGAGAATACAGGCCCAGCCTGTCGGGTTGGCCCATTTAACAGGAGGGTCGGGATTGCTATTAAAACCTTTCAAATGTAATTTGGGCTTAAATGAGTTGGTCTTGATGGGCTCAAAAATAAACGGGCTAGCCCTAAAGGGCTGAGGGCCAGCCCATTTAAGCCCGCATAACCTTTTTTTGGTATTAAAATATTTTTTTTGTATTCAAATAATTAACATTTGATAGACTCTTGGACTTGAAAAAAAGTTTAAGCATGATCTATCTATACATGTTAGCCCATATTTGCAGGGAAGAAAAAACATTAAAAAAATAACAACTAACCCTAAATCCCCTAACTTAACTCTCTATACTACATTCCACCAATTCTGCCCCTTTGCAATTTATCTCTTATTCATATGAGTTGTGCTCGTCTCTCATCATTCCTCTTTATCGATAGCATCTCCTAACAGTGCTCCTTTGTCTATGACGGTGCTTCATTGTGCTTCTTCATTTATGACAGTGCTTTGCTAAGCTCAAAGACTCAAATGAAAGCGTCTCTCAAGTCCTCCTCTTGCTCAAATAGAACCGTAGTCTAATTTGCTTTTCCTTGTTCTTCCCTCATTCTTAGTTTTTATCTCAGTCAAACTTGTGTCTATGGTTTATCTTGTTTAGTCATTCAGATGCTATCATTTTGTCTGTGTTTATGATTTATTTAGTTGTTTTATTTTGATTACTGTCATTTTGTTTATTGATATGATTGTACTCTTGATTTATATACTGGTATAAAATTTTTGAGTAGTGAAATGAAATGGAGTATTAATATTTAATTTAATAAAAACATTTAATAGAAAAAATAAAAATAAGTAATAAGGCTTGAAGCCTGTAAGGCCAGCCCTGAGCCTGTTATTTCAAGGGCCGAGCCCTACAATTCAATACCTCTAAAGGAAAATAGATTTTTTAAGCTCGGCCTTTTTAGGCTCAAGCCTGGAGCCTGTTATTTCAAGGGCCAAGCCTTGCAATTTGATACCTCTAAAGGAAAATAGATATTTTAAGCTCGGCCTTTTTAGGCTCGAGCCCATTAAGGGCCGACCCTTTAAGGCTGGGTTGGCTCATTTTCCTAGCTCTAACAATAGGTGACGTTGGAATATGTAATAGTTGAAAAATATTACCTAAAGTCAAAGGTAACAGTTTTCATATATAGTTATAACAGTAGTTTTGAACTGTTGTTATAAAGCAAAAATGTTGTAGTATAATTTAAATTTACAAGTGTTGGGAAATTTTTAAATAGCACAATTTTAAATTCAATCCCAATTATTGGAAAAATAGTAATTAAATTTATTATGTAATTAATGGTAAATTTAAGTATTGTTATAAACATGAATAAAATAATTACTCAAATTAATAGGATTCTAGGGGTTATAGAATTTAGCTGCAGTCATATCGGCCGGGGAAGTTATAACTAAGGTCTAATTGTAACCACGCATGCCTAAATATTTTGCCATTTTAATAGATGTTGAGATAATCCCCAAATAGCTAAAAAAAAAATAAAAAGAAAAAGAGGGAGAGATGATACTTGGGTTTGAGATGACAGCCTTTCAATTCAGCTGCTAGGGACAAAGCCAACCTCCATTTTTGCACCTTCTCTTTATTGTCTTTGAATCGTTCCTCCAGTCTCGCCAATGCTTTTGCATAGCTTCTTCTCGGACGTCGAAGCTCTGATGGATCCACATGGTAAAAGACTGGATATATCTGCCGACCTTCCTCCTTGAAGCACTCCAGAATCTTTGCAAGTTCTTCCAAGCAAAAGGTCGAGTTTGCATAGTTTTTGGAGAAAACTATGATTGCTACTCTGGATTCTTGTATGGCTTTGAAAAGTGCTTCTGTGATTCCTTCTCCTGTCCTGAATTCCTTCGTCATCTTTAAAGACATGAATGCCTCTTTGACGCAGAGCTTCGCGGAGATGGCCAATGAATCCTAAGCGAGTGTCTTCGCCGTGGAAACTAAGGAAGACGTCATAAGTCCATTTGTATGTGATGGAAGAAGATCCTGCTTGTCGTGCCATGATAATCTTATCAGACTCGCAGAGCTGAATTAAAACCGCAGAAGCGCAGAGCAACGCAAGAAGAAAAAGGAAGCATTGAATAAAGCAAGAAGAGATCTCCCAGGACCGGAAAGAACGAAGGATAGTGAAGTGTAATATAATAAGCAGAAGTTATATGTGAATGTATGACCACGAAGCTTCTGCCATATTTGAAAATAAATATATATGAAGGTGGGAAACGCGCAACGGGGAAATAATATTTCCGTGGCTCCAAATTCAAAGCCATAGGAGATTTATATAATGAAATTGCAGGTTACCCTTTCACTTTCAGAGAGCTTTCTTAAATTAATAGACATAATTATTTTTTAATGATAGCAAGTTTGGGTGAGTTGGGTCTGGTTGTCTAGGGATTTACTAGGACATACATTCAAGCTCAAAAAATGCTATAGCAATACTTACAAATCATTAGCTAACAAGATCCTCAAATTATATTGTACAAGAGTTTCTCTTTAAAATTTTTAGTACTCCATCCCATATTTTTTTAAAATTTCCAACCCCCAAACGTAATAACTTATCAAACTACCAGTGTATTATTGTTCATATTATTTGATATTTAAATTTAAAATGATACAGAACATCGACATATGTCGTTTATATAGATATCCTTTTTTATTTGTTTAATTTTTTTCTTTTTTCTTTTTAAAGTTGTCTGTCCTCCCTTTTTCCATCAATCAAAAAATGTATTGACACGCCCACCACTATACCTCCACCAAACTTCGTCTCAATCCCTTAATTTTAAATGGCATTGATTCCATAAAGGAACAGCAAGTTAGGAAAATAACTTGAGGAAAAGGAATTGAATATATACAATCTTATGCATAGTGTCTATTTAAACATTAAGCACTCAAGTCTGTCCTTATTTTGATCATTTGTCTAGTTTTTCCCTCCTCTTCGTTTAGTTTTCTTTTTAATGGGTTCTGCTCTTTTTTCTTTAGGGTTTATAAAATGGAAATTATGGTTATCTACTTTTCACTTCAGATTATGGGGTCCCATCAGTACATTCATAGTGTTTGTTTAAAATTATAAGCACCGAAAATATGCTTTTATTATATTCATCACTGCGACTTGTTTGCTTCCATTTTTTATCACAAAAAATTACTTCTCTTTTGGAAGAAGATATCTTTAAAAAAAAATTACCCGTTTGGCTTCAATGCAATTTTAAATATGGGATGGTTTGTTAAAAAAAAATTACTCTCCTTCTTTGTTACTTTTTTTTATATAATTTTGAGGTTTTTTATTTTAAATTATGTATATTCTATATTGCAATTAAACAAATAAAAAAAATATTCTTTAATGTAATTTATTAAAATATTTTACGAATAATTTCACCCAAATAATATTTTACCATTAAGGAACAGGTCATAATAAGTTTTTTTGTCAGTGATTACATAAAAAAGTTTTGTAAGTAATTAATTATTATTATTATTACTATTATTACTAAAATAAAAACCAAAACCAACCACAATGACGCGGGGACGGGTGACCAGGCAAAGAGAGCGAAAAACAGGAAGAAAAATATTGTCAAGCAACGTTGATTTGGGGGCATTATAATCGAAAAATTTAGGTAGAGGGACCTAATAATGTCAAAATTTATTTTAAAAGACCCATAAAAATTAAAATTAGCATGAAGGACCAAGGTATGTGTAATTGACTATTATAACCATAGTATAAAATCTGTCAATAATTCCTTAAAATTAAATTGAGTACTGTATAAATTATTAGAGCACTCTTTTAAAAATAAGGTTGTGCACTTTTTAATTCCACACACAAACATAAAAGGTAATATTAAAATTTTTATTTAAAAATAATCGAATCAATATATTTTTAAAATATTTACTTTAAAAAAAGTAAATCAATATAATTTAAAAATTTTACTGAATTATTACATTTTGCAAAGATTATCCTATCTAATTTCTGCACTTACAAATTTTCAAGGAGATGAGATCATGAACTTGGTACAAGTTTATGGGCATTAGTGCAACTTTGTTTTATTTGTTGTTTTTCATCTCATTGTTATTAAAATGAAAAAAAGAAATAGCTTTGTCTTGGATAATACATTTTTGTTAGCAATTTTCAAATAAAACATGTGAAATGTAGTTAGGAAAAAATTTAGGTGATTTAATTTAATTAGGGCCAATTTAGTATTTTTAAATTTATATTTTTGTATTTGGTCTTTCTAAATAATTACTATTTTTAAGATCTTCTATAATAAATATTATACCCTAAAGGTCCTTCATTATAATTTTTCCCATTATTATAATTATTTCTTAAAAAGTTAATGTCAGATAAGTTTATACTTTCTAGGGACTTTACATTAAAATAATTATCCTATTTTGTGATCTTCTTTCGTCATTTTCCTGCTTAAATGGTATTCATTAGTCATTTCCCTTTTTTTCATTTTCCAATTCAAGGAATCAAAGTTAAATTAATTA